CCCCTAAATACGGCCCTGGGCGTGACATTAAAATATGCTTTATTTCAATATATAATAAAATATTTAATACTTGCACGAAAACCTTGAAAACTAAATTTAGCCTCTCATATGAGTTTGTAAATGGTACAACATAAAGTAAAAAATATTTGATTTTGAGATAAATTTCGAAATTTTGGTTTTCAGTCTTGAAAGTTAGATTTATTTATTCTTACTTATTAGAAATAATACGCCCAAATTATTAAGTTAATTATGTTGTTGTTGTTGTTGTTTTTGTAGCAGCATACAAGCTCCCCAAAGAGTTTTTGGAGAGGGTTAAGTTAATTATCGTTTCATTCGGTATCGGTTACCGTGGAATGAGCCACATATAAAATTTATAATTAAATTAGCTCACCATAAAGTTTACAAGTTTCTACTGCTTGCTGCTTTTGCCACTTCGTAGTACCGACTGAAAACTGGTTAATGAACCACACAACCAAGGTGTATTAAACAAGGTGTGATTGACAATTCAGTGCGGCTCTCTTTTAAGGTACTATTATGTCAAAAAGTATACGAATTTACCCTTAAATAGTTTTGCATGTATCTTGTCAGCACTGATACCCTAGGCTTTTATTTCGATTATAGTTTTGTTTTACTTACATTACTTGGAATATATATATTTTGTCAATAAAATATAACAAATTGTTTATAAAATAGTTTTAGCAATTTTCTTGTTTTTAATTGCCCAAGTTTTATGCTTTTGTGCGTTTATTTTTATATTTAAATTTTTTATCCTAAACATTATTCGACACTTATAAAAGTAGGATTTTACATTAGTTTCCAATTTTATATGTGAGCTTAACTCTAACAATTTTGAAATTAAATTTTTATCATGCGAAATAGTTTTCTATTAAACACTTTACTTCGAGCAGTTTTAAATTAAGCTCTTCCATACTTGCTTGCATGGCTTTAATTATTTCGGTAAGAAGAAATATTTCTGTTCTCAACGTGCATTCTAAAGAGTCGCCTGTTTGAGTTTGGACATCAACAAATAATGTATCCTGATCGCGGTCTAAATCCTCACTTGTTTCAGTTATTTCGTATGGTATTGGGACTGCGCCTGGGTATAAACGAGCTCGTTTGAAAGGGCTTGATTCGGACGGACAACTAATGAAATCACTTTCCTTGAAGTGGTTTTCACAAACGCGAGTACAACACCTCAGCTTTCTTCCCATCGCTGCCGTCTTAATTCGCAACTAGGTGGTTTAAACATCACACTAATTTCGTGTCCTGACTTTTATTGCATACAGCGCACCGTTCCAACGTTTTGCTCCGTTTCATCTTGGTTTCCTTACATTAAATATTTAAGAAAAGTCGAACGTATTTACTTATTACCCAACTTTAAATGTACTTACTTGCTCTCCTCGGCGGTTTATCTCTTAACATTTTCACGTTTATTAAGAAAATTTGTTGCTTGAAAAATTTGTGTGTAACTTTTTTTTAAACAAATTCCAGTTTAAAAAAATAATAAATTCAAATGGGTTAAGAATTAACTTCAGTTTGACATTATAGCCTGTTTCTTATGAGAGCAATGTCAAAATCAATCACACTTTGTTGAATACATTTTGGTTTTTGTTTTTTGTTTTATTTTTATTTGGCATTTGAGTTGCTCTCATAATTTCAATCATGATACAAATATTTAAAGGTAAAACCAAGGCGCATCAATACAAGGTGGTGTTGATTGATCAGCTGATTGGACATTTTTGTCTCTACACTAGTATAGGAGAATGTCATCCAAGACAAAGCGGGGCACCTTTAGGATGTCAACAAAAGAAAATGATGAAAATTACCAATGCCCGGCATGTGGAGAGTCGCCACATGACTCCCGGCACCTCTTCACATGCCCTGAGAACCCCACTCAGCTAACGCCCGTCCCTATGGACAGCCCCCTTGGAAGTAGCACACTTCCTGGGCGTCCCCCTAGCTGAAATAGACGATAACGTTGATGGATGAACCGCCCCGAACGGGGCTTAGTAGCCGCTACAACAACAACAACAACATGGAAGTTATCTCCTATTCCCTTTCGTTTTGACATTCTTCTGTACCAAAAGCAATAACAAAATTCACGGGACTACTTTATAAAATTTAAATTTTCAGAGCAACTCAAATTCCAAACAAAAGTAAAACAAAAAATAAATACATAGATGAAAATATTCGAATTTTCTTTTATTTGAAACTGAAAGTGAGAATAAATTTGTGAGATTGAAAATTTTAAAACATGTTTGTTATGTTGGCAAACTTCAAAAATGTTACGCTGCCTCTCAGCGGTTTTACCTTCAAATTTTTGTATCATGGTTTTCAGTCTTCAACTCTTACTTACTAGAAATAATAAGCTCAAATTAGTAAGTTAATTATCGTTTCATTCGGTATCGATTACCGTGGAATGAGCCACATATAAAACTTTTAATTAAATTAGCTCACCATTTTTTTCTTTGGAAATAAAGTTTATAAGTTTCACTATTTAATGCAACTGCTTGCTGCTTTCGCCACTTCGTAGTACCGATTGAAAACTTGTAATGAACCGCACAACATATAAATTAAAAATACCTCGCATGGTACAATGTATGTACCCCATATACAAATGTATACATATACATATGAACATAGTACATATACCAGTACATCAGCAATGTACCCTGTAGGGAAACCCCGAACTGGTGAACCAAATGTAAAGGGTGTCCGGTGGCAGAATTGGGTTTTAGATTTACAGTTTCTCCCTAACTGCTGAGCGTATCGGCGGGGTGGGGACAGCGTCAGTTTCGTCATTCGTGCGGGTTATTTAATAGGGATGTCTCAGTGGACGGGTAAACAACATGCGTTCGCAATCGAAGCGTATTTCAAGGTCAATGATTAGTGTGCAACAGCTCGTCGTAGATTTTGTCCACGTTACAATATTCGACCTTTTCCCCTACGACGACCCCTTCGACGATCTTACCCCTATGGATTTTTTCGGTGGGCATACCTCAAAAGTAAAGTCTACGAAAAAAACCCAGCGACCATCTCAGCACTAAAAAAAATATCGTTCGTGAGGAACATTTTTAGAGGAATAATTTTTAAAAAACAAAATCCGCACTTGTCTTCTCTGTAATAGTTATTGAAATAAACTTTTATCATTAGTAATTCTTTTTTAATTTAGCTTTTAATTCCTAATTCTGCCACCGGACACCCTGTATATTTCCGTACTAGACCTTTATCGCCAAAACCGAACCAGTCCGATAGCAATTAGACCGCCACCAGTTCAAAAGCAGCGAGATATGGTGCTTTTAAAAAACAATTTTATTTTTAGAAATCTTTATCTAAAACGGCGAATTTTGAACTTGTTTACTTTAAATAGATTTTTGCTTGGTGCGTTTTTCGTTCAAATACGCTTATAGTCTGCACTTCGCAGATGCTTTTTTATAGTTTGGTAATACAAAACTAAAATTTGTGTTAACATTTTAATATTTTGGGACCTTCTGGAATCTGACCAATAACAGCAAGCACCTTTGCAAAGTTAGCTACAGCCAAAGATTTGTAAACGTGTTTTCAAATGCCCAATTTGATTTACATTTATTCTAACAAATTTGATTTCAATTTTAATTATTTAATTAAAAATCGCTTCCATGGTAAAACTAAAAAGACTTTGAAAACATCTTGTTACCTTATTCGTCTGTCGATTTTATAACTGGTTCGGGACTTTAGAAAACAGTGTTCAAAGCGAATTAGATTTCATCTGTCGAATTTAGGATTGGTTCTGAACTATACAATGCAGCGGGGCAATTTCCAATTCCTATGACATCGCCATGTTAAATTCGCCAGTTGTTTGCATGCAAGAGATTTATCACGAACTAGTAGTGGGTCTAAATGTACCAGAAGCGCACCAGTTCTGAACTAGAGATTTCCCACAGGGTATGTACGTGAAAGTTTCCCCAACACATTAGCAATTAACAATACTGTTAGACCAAACCAAACCAAACTCCGCATCCGCCGGCATAAAGACCGGTATATTTGTTGAAGACTACTGGCAAATTATGAAATCAAGATAAAATTTACAAAAGTAGAACTTCGAATTAACGAGTATTTAATTCATACTAATTAGGTAAGTTTAAGCTGCAAAAAAGTGCACATGCATATGAATATATGTACATAAATATAATGCAAGTTTATGTATAGGACATAGCAAATCCGAGGATCCCAGTAGCCTTACTGATTCTAACCTCACATTAGGATTCCCTCTGCATACAGCACTTTGTTAAATTCGCAAGTTAAAAATTCCGCTTTCTTATTCACGCTTATTATCATGCATATTTGTTCAATAAATAAGGAAACGTTTTTTCATTATATAATCACTCTCCCGTGGTAGGACTTTAGAGGAATGCATTGTTGCTGGTAAAGAAAAATACTTACCAAACGCCTAGTGACATGTGATGTAACCGCCCAATGACGGCGGCTCAACCGCTGCAGATTGCGAGCCAAAGTTGTTGAACATCGCACGATTTGAAACACCATTTTTGTTTAAAATATGCACAACTTATTAAATTTAGTTCCAAATTAGTAGCAGCAGGAATCCACTAATTTGTCTGCATAAGCGTATGTATTGTTGTGTTATCGAATTAACAGCTGACGAAAAGCAAAACAAGGCAAACGCAGCGAAACCCAACTACAAAATGAAGATGGTTAACATTTTGTTGCGACTTTTCTATTTTGCTGTCATTCGTAATTTTAATTTGGTCCCTAAGTTAGTGTTGCCGTCTTAGTACATTGGCCACATACATTTTAAAATGCCCCTAGACCTTTTCTAGCCCTTTGCAAAATTTATTCATACTCAAAGTATACTGAATTTTTTTATGAAACTCGGTGGGGATACTAATCTATACTATAAACTATATTAACTATAATTATCACTTTCACAATGTTGTTGGTAATAGTACTTAAGTTATTTATTGATAAAATATCCGGCCTACTATCACTACATTTTATTGTAACACTAGATTATCACTTTATACACAAATTTACTATCCTTAAAAGGTTCACATGCGTTTGTAAAACACCTCAAGAATACTGACCTTTGAGCTAGAGAAAAAAAAAAGTGGGCGTGCCCCGCCACCCTCTCCGGATTTTAACGGCATATTCTTTTTTTGGTGCAAATTGACAGGGGCGGCGATAGGAGGGGGCTAAACGTGGAATTTTCAACATATTGAACCGATTTTCTAAATATGGACACAGTTGGAAAGGTGATTGAAGGGCCTTTCATTCGATATATATATCTATGTATATAATGTATACACATTGCAAGAAAATGTAAAAAACGAAATTGTGGCAGTTTTGTCTAACAGCTGTTTCGTCAATAAAATAAATACAAAAAATGGATGCTGAACAACAGGAAAAGTAAATATTTTTGCAATTTGTTTATTTTTTTAATAATTACTGAGTTTATTTATTTTCTAGGCGAAATAAAAAAAAATAACAAAGCAGGAGTAGCTCCAGTACTTCACACAGTTTGCAATCCACAACTTGGTGCAAAAGTTTGTATGGAAATGAAATCCTATGTCTGCTCTAACTCTTCCGAAACTGCCGAAAAAACAAGCAATAACTCTGCCATTACTGAATATACTTTTAGTTAAAAAAATAAAAAATAACACAGACACTGATAGCGAACGAAAATTAACAAAACATTTGCTCAATAAAAATCGGCTGTTTTTCTCTTGTGAGGGTCTCATTCGTACATCATAAATTTTCTCACAATTGTGAGCGTATGAGCTTTCGAATTTACGCCAGCATAGGGATAACCTCACAATAGTCAGAAACCTCACAATAGTGAGTGTGGTGATTTTTGTGAGGGCAACAGAAAGGGCTGTAAGGCGACTATGAAAGGCTTTAGTTGTGACTTAGAATAGTTTCGACTTAGTTGAGTACTAAATATGACTATGAATATGCGCCATGGTATTTGGTTCATAATTATACTCCCCTGTTGTCCGAAGGGTTAAAGAATTCTAGTCGTTGCAACCCTGTAAGCAATCAGTAAACAGCTGTTTGTTGTCATCTCAACTATTTGTTAAATTAACCACTGGTTTGTTTACCATCGCTTCACTATTTCGTTAATTGAAAATAAATAAATACCTAAATAAAATGGAAAGACCACAGAAAATGCCCAAAGTGGCAAAGGTAAGTAAGATTTCTTATTAACGCAAAGGTCTTACGCAAATATTCACTTAACAGGTAAAAAACAAAGCGCCTGCCGAGGTACAAATCACGGCGGAGCAATTGCTTCGAGAAGCCAAAGAACGTGATTTGGAAATTCTTCCGCCACCTCCCAAACAAAAGATATCAGACCCCGCTGAGTTAGCTGATTACCAACAGCGTAAACGCAAAGTATTTGAAGACAATCTTCGCAAAAATCGCATGGTAGTTAGCCATTGGATAAAATATGCGCAGTGGGAGGAATCACAAAAGGAAATACACCGAGCTCGTTCAATATGGGAACGTGCCCTGGATAATGAGCATCGAAACATTACCATTTGGTTAAAATATGCTGAAATGGAAATGAAGAATAAGCAAGTTAACCATGCACGAAATTTGTGGGATCGCGCTGTTACCATCATGCCGCGCGTTAATCAGTTTTGGTACAAGTACACCTATATGGAGGAAATGTTGGACAATGTAGCAGGAGCCCGGCAAGTGTTTGAACGCTGGATGGAATGGCAACCTGAGGAACAAGCTTGGCAAACCTATGTTAATTTTGAACTTCGCTATAAAGAAATCGATCGGGCGCGTGCAATCTATGAACGTTTCGTTTACGTTCACCCTGATGTTAAAAACTGGATTAAGTTTGCGCGATTCGAAGAGTCGCATGGATTTGTACACGGAGCTCGACGGGTTTACGAGCGAGCCGTGGAATTCTTTGGAGATGATTACATCGATGAGCGACTGTTTATTGCTTTTGCGCGATTTGAAGAGGGCCAGAAAGAGCATGATAGAGCACGCGTTATTTACAAATATGCATTAGATCATCTGTCCAAAGACCGAACAAAGGAGCTTTATAAAGCTTACACAATACATGAGAAAAAATATGGCGATAGGGCAGGTATCGAAGATGTTATTGTGTCCAAGCGAAAATTCCAATATGAGCAGGAGGTGGCTGCTAATCCCCAAAACTACGATGCCTGGTTTGACTATCTGCGTCTCATCGAAGGTGAGTTTGTTATAAGTGTTGCATGCATAAAAATGCATATGGAAATTGTGTAACTTTTAGATGAGCATTGTACAATAAGGAGCTTAAATTTTTTACTTTCATAACATGGATTATAATATCGTTCCCTTTATTTATTTATTTATTTATTTATTATACAGAAATTAAGTGATAAATCACCTAACTACAATAACTAGGAGCACTAGTAACTAAGACCTTCAGCTCGCTTGTCAACTTTTTGTATACCTAGTAAACTGGTTAACTTAGAAATTGACCCTAATCTAAAACAACACTTAACTCCAGATTAACTTCTTTAGATTTGTCAATACTAAGTACTTTACAATCCTGTCAATGTTCTTACTCTCAATAGTTATTAAATAATCCGAAGGTGTATAGTTTCCAAAGATGCTTTTCCTGATGTCGGTAAAATGTTGGCATTCGTCAAGGGGGTGGATTACGGAAAGTTGGTTCAAGTTACAATACGGACATAGCGGTCGGCTTTCCCCCTTGAGGATGTGGCTGTGAGTTATAATTGTTTGGCCAATACGTAACCGGGTGACTGTTTTCAAATCATTGCAAGAGATATTTGAGTCGTAAACGAGTTTATTTGTTGAATTGTGCCTGTGAGTTATAATTGTTTGGCCAATACGTAACCGGGTGACTGTTTTCAAATCATTGCAAGAGATATTTGAGTCGTAAACGAGTTTATTTGTTGAATTGTGCCGGGTACAACGTGCACCGTCGAGATCTAGGTGTATGGTGTCAAGTTAGCATTACATACCATTTTTTCTTAAAAAACGAGAGCTACAAATTTTTTCTTTCCACAACAAATTTAAAACAAAAACACTACAATTAATGCAGTTGTAACCTTTTCAATATCTCAATTCCGTCGTCAATGGTGCATGGTGTCAAGTTAGCACTACATACTAAATTTTGTTCGAAAAAGGGTCAACTCAATTTTTTCCAGAAAAACGAAAGCTACAATTTTCAATATCTCAATTCTATCGACTAGGTGTATGGTGTCAAGTTAGCACTACATACCATTTTTTCTTAAAAAACGAAAGCTACAAATTTGTTCTTTCTCCTTTCTCTTTGCCTCCGCTAAACAGTGGACCTATATCAACTTCTCTAAAGCTGACTGGAAAGGTTACGCGGAGTTTACTGAAAACACCTTCACTGCGCTTCCCACACCAACCGACGTCCATCTCGGTGAACGTAAGTTCCGCAGGGCTGTCACTGCTGCTGCAGCTCGTTTCATACCGGCAGGATGTATAATGGACCCACGTCCCAACTTCCCTGCCGAAGCGGCTATTCTAGCCGATGAGCGTGATAGCCTTCGTCAGGCCGATCCCGGAGATCCCCGTATCAGGGATCTCAACGCGGAGATTCGGCAACTAGTAAACGTACATAAGCGGAAGAAGTGGGAAGAGCATCTGAAGACCTGTAACTTCACCTCTGGTGTGAGTAAGCTTTGGTCAACCAAGAGGTCACTGTCCAATCCGACGCAGCACGACGACAACCTTTGCCCCCCTTGCTTTCACTTGCGGTGAAGTTCAGTTGGCCATCGGGAAGGCGAAAGCCTCCAAAGCCATGGGTCCCGACGGAATATGCATGCTGATGCTGAAAAATTTGGGTCCTGCGGGGGTAGCGTACCTAACGGAGGTCCTCAATTTGTGTATGGCCACTGTCATCATCCCAGACATCTGGAAGGTGGAGAGAGTGGTCCCACTGCTCAAACCGGGGAAACCTGCCAACAAAGCAGATTATTATCGGCCGATAACACTCCTTTCCCCGGTAGCGAAGACAATCGGACCCTGCTGCTCCCGTATTTCACAAACCACTTGACCCCAGCGAAGCATCAGCATGGTTTCCGTAAAGTGCACAGTACAACAACAGCACTTAACGCCATAAACACTCAGATAACTCGTGGCCTTAACCGAAACCGTCCCTGTGAGAGAACGATTCTAGTAGCGTTTGACTTGTCAAAGGCGTTTGGCACCGTCTGCCATTTCACGCTACTAGAAGATATAGAGGCTTCCTCTCTCCCACAGAGGCTCAAACGGAGGTCGGCAAATTACACTAAGTAACAAAAAAAAAAAGTTTCTCAGTCCTTGGGATGTAATTGTTATTTCCTAGTCTGTTATGCCTTAAAAGTATGGAAACCACCTAATATTCCTCGGAAACTTTGCTTTTGTGACCAGGACAATGTGATTCATTAAAATATGCTAAAATTATGAGAAAAACGTGTTTGAGTCTTTCACTACAGAGAAAATCATACAGAACAGCACATATAAATCAAAACTAAATTTTATTAAAACTTCAGAAAACCAAAAACATAAAAGTAAATCAGAAGCGGGTTGTTTTTTCGACATTTGCGTTTAAACTGCGAGTCACTTTCTCTAATCAATCCCCAAATGTAATCTCCCATCATGTTCTCATTCGTGACGCTTCCTCTGACATGTGACTTTAACACTAGGATCCAGCAAATTCCACTGCATCAGTCTGGACGTCAAAAGTTCAGCATCGGACTTGGTTAGACCAAGATCTCTGATCAAATCATTCATGTCCTTTTGGTTGGGATAGTATGGGTTTTTGTTATCAGCTAGTAAATTAAATCCTTCACCTTCATTGTCTTCCACACTCATGGAATCAGGGCTCTCACAGGAAGACACCTGCTCTTTCTCTGGAGGAGTAGGAACGGGGCGGTCAGAGCTGTGTGGAACTGGAGCCATGGATGAAGGAATGTCAGGATACATGATTTGACTTGCTTTTTTTGCCAGTCCGACGTTTGGAAGGGTCCACCATGCAGAAAAAGCAGTTGCTTGAATGGTCAGTGGGTTCTCTCCAAACTCTTGGCACAGCAAACTTCATAGCTCTCTTTTCCCCTCTGTACCATCCTGAAAAAAAAAAATTAGAAAAGAAAAGTACTGTCTAATAAAAAAGTTAATAGAAACATTTATTTTACCCATAACAAAGCAATATAGTTTTAAAATGTCTTACCTTCCAAAGTCCTTTTGCAGTTTTCACACGCGAAATGAGGTGCCCAGGATTTGTCTTGATCACCCACAGGCATGCCGAAATAAGCATTGTAAGCTTCGCACATTTTAAAACCTGTTTCCAAAGAGTACTTATTCGCTCTTGTTTTGATAAAATATCCGCAGACATAACAAAATGCATCTGCAGGATACTTGCAGCCTCGTGAAGCCATGTTTGAACGAATTTATCTGTAATAAAATAAGAAACAACTCTCAATAAATCACAAAAATGTTGCAAAATTTATTGCGACGACTTTGTTGTTTTAATTAGTGTTGGGCAGTATCGAGTACTTTTGTGTATTTACTACTTTGGTATCGATACTTTTAAGCATCGGGTACTGTCGCTACTTTTCAGCATCGAGTACTGAGTACTTTTGGAATCGATACTGCCCAACACTAGTTTTAACACACACAAATGTAGAGAAAACAAGTTGTATGCGCTCGTGTATCAGTTTTCAACAAACAAGCATAAAAATAAACGCAGATAAGCGCTGCCATGGTCACAAAAGCAAAGTTATCTTGCGACAATAGCTGTTTTCTATACTTTTGGGACCTAACTGACTAGGAAATAACAATTACAACCCAGGGACAAAAACCTTGTTACATAGTGTTATCTGAGTGGTCGACACTCGTCGGTAATATTTAGAGACAAATCGAGTAAAATTAGAAAAATAAAACAAGGGGTTCCACAGGGTGGTGTCCGTTCCCCGCTACTGTTTAACTTTTACATTTCAAAGCTTCCTCAACCACCAGAGGGAGTCTCGATTGTCTCTTACGCCGACGATTGCTCGATCATGGCGACTGGGAATGGAATTGAAGACCTGTGTTCGAAAGTAAACGGGTATCTCTCCGAACTTTCTCGCTTCTTCACTGCAAAGTGTCTAGCCCTCTCCCCTACGAAATCCTCTGCGACCCTGTTCACAACCTGGACGAAGGAGGTCAGGCTACCGCTGGGAATTCACGTCGATGACACACCAATTCCGACAGTGAATAACCCCAAAATACTCGGAGTAACATTCGACAGCCTTGTTGTTGTTGTAGCGGCTACTAAGCCCCGTTCGGGGCGGTTCATACATCATCGTTGTCGTCTATTTCAGCTAGGGGGAGGCCCAGGAAGTGTGCTACTTCCAGAGGGGCTGTCCATAGGGACAGGAGCGTTAGCTGAGTGGGATTCTCAGGGCATGTGAAGAGGTGCCGGGAGTCATGTGGCGACTCTCCACATGCCGGGCATTGGTTGTACACATCCTCGTTGATTCTGCTCAGGTAGCTGTTGAGGCTGCTGCAATAGCCAGAGCGAAGTTGGGCTATTGTAGTGCGGGTCTCCCGAGGCAGACAAAGTTCTGTCCCGTCCACGTCCGGTGGTTGTGTGCCTAGAACGGCATTCACAGGGCGGGAGTCTACATAACTTGAGACTGATTACCTGTGAATGCCGTTCAGGGCCTGTCGGTAGGTTGACGGGTCCAGAGGTTGTTTAATATACCTCTGGACTTCGTCTGTCAGTTCATAAAGATGCCTCCTGACGTGCCGTGGCGAGGGCTCTTTCGCGAGCAGTTGCCAGCTGGGATGGCCACGTCTGTGGCTCCCAGCGAGGAACTGCTTGCAGAGCATTATGTTATGCTCCTTTACTCGAAGGTAACTCCGAGGATTTTCGGGTTATTCACCGTCGGTATTGCTACGTCATCGATGTGAATACCCAGTGGCAGTCTGACCTCCTTCGTCCAGGTGGTGAAAAGGGTTGCCGAGGATTTCGCAGGGGATAGGGCAAGGCTCCTTGCAGTGAAGAAGCGAGAAAGTTCGGAGAGGTAACCGTTTACTTTTGAGCACAAGTCATCAATTCCATTCCCAGACGCCATGATCGAACAATCGTCAGCATACGAGACTATGTTAACACCCTCTGGTGGCTGAGGAAGCTTTGATATGTAATAATTAAACAGTAGCGGGGACAGGACACCACCCTGTGGTACCCCCGGTTTAATTTTACGTGGCTTGCTGGTTTTGTCTCTGAAGATTACTGACGAGTG